ACGCAGACTTAATCGTTATATATTTTTTAGTATAATACCGAAGAAGATGGAATAATAAAATAATTAGCAGATATGCAAATTTATTTTTATTTTATGCTTTATTTAATTTGTAGTAGTCTATAAAAACAACAAAGCTTGTATATGTATGTATTTTAATTATAAAAAAGGAGAAGAAAAAAAAAAAAACAATTTATTTATGCCAACAACAATTAACTAATAGCTGCCTGCATACACCCTTAAAACAATTTATATATATTTACTTGATTTTTTAAGTAATTCCTGAACATTTTCTACACGTATTGGCTCACTTTTTTTTTTTTTTTTTTTTTTTTTTTTTTGTAATTAAAATGCTCTTTTAATTACACTTTTTGCGAATTTTTTCGAATACACTTTTTTAAAATGTATTTTTTTGGAAAATTTATAAAATACATTTATAATAAAAAAAAAAAGAAAAAGAAAAATCCTAAACATAAAACATAGGAAGACCTGGAACCCTATAATATAAAAACACTTACGTCTAATCCAATTGTATATTTTCTAGAGCTTAGTATAGTAAAAATCTTATGAAACTTTCCCTTCTTCACTTTTCGCGCTCTGCCTTTAAAAATTATATTAAGATTTTTGAAAAACGAATCAAACACAAAATTATCCTTATAAAAAGAATTTCTAAAAATTGTCTTAAATAATTTTCTGAAATTCTTTGTTTATTTTTTATACTTTTTATAATTTTTCTTGTTTATTTTCTAAAAATTGTTGTTTATTTTTTGAAGTTTCTTATGTTTGGATTATTTTTATTTTTTTTCATTTTTATAAACTTTATTAACTGAATAATATTATATTATTAAAAAAAAAAAAAAAAAAAAAAAAAAAAAAAATGGTTTGCTAATATTCTAAATTCTTTTTTCTTTTTGTAAATTTTTAAAAATTCAAAAATGCATTGAAACATAATTTACAAATTTATTAAAAGGCATCAATTTATTCATGTGTAATATGAAATTATAAATAATTATAATGATAATGAAATGAAACACAAAAAAAAAAAAAAAAAAAAAAATGCATATTTAATATAAATGCAATAAAATTGATTAGAATTGTAAAATACAGTTATTTGGAAAATTAAAAATGAAAACAAAAGAAAAAAAACCAATGCGTTCATTTTTATTTTAGATAGGACAGAATTTGTGGCAAGGGCTTAACGTGGGTTTCTGCCTGAAAGGCTTAACCCCACGGTGGCCCAAGCCACTTTTAAGCGTACTACGCCCCCTGGCGTGTTAGACAATCCCCACAAAGTAGGGGCCTAAACAGCACCAGAGTCCAGAACAGTTTATTGTGTATGGAACAATAAACCCCACTCTGGTCAATGGCGAGGCCTAGCTGCACTCAATTGTTCCATTTTAGCTAGGAACTCGCCAACCACAACCACCACGAGTACTCCCCGAAGGGCCGCACCCAAGCAGTCAGGACTCACAAATTGATCAACTGACTGCTTCCGCCATAAGGCTTCCACTGTGCTGTTGATCAATTACCACCATTACCCGCAGGCATCCGTGACATGTGTTCAAAAGTAAAAATAGGTAAAAGGGGACAACTTATTCGTCATATCCCTTTTCCATTTTTGCATGTATTAATTAATTTACCAGACATTTTCTATCAATCGGCCAAAGGGAAGGCCGTCCGTCAATTCCTTTTTGCATTAATAGTATAATTAATTTATTTATTACGACTTAAGGACAAAGTCCATCATATACCCGCAGGCATACGTGGCTTTGTGAGGCGAGCTTCCTGACCCCCGTGGCTCCCAGTTTGTTTTGCAAAGCCTTATGGCATACTTTGGGCGGTTGTTAAAAACAACCGTACTTGCTTCGGATTCTCCATACTTTCCAATGAACTACTTTTCTTCAAGATATATAGGTCTCGGGTATTGCACTGAACATGGTAGACTAATCTAATGCACTCTACCATGCACTCGCTAGATTACTACCTTCATTGTACTTAAATACCATTCAATATATTTCCTCGGTAGTAACTAGCTATTGAGTAAAAGCTCTTCTTCCAGCCAACCCCTCCACCATCTCTCAGAAACTCGTCGCCGAGTTAGCAGCCCAAAACCTTAAACTCTTCTTAGCCGGCCGAAGCCGTTGCCCGGGGATCACCGCTGGGAGGTGAGAGTTTCGGCACATCTATCAAAGCATAGTTCATCTCCCCAGAGGGAGATGATAGGACAGTGCGAAGGATATCAATGTATTCGTTTTGTTTTGTTGTTTGCTGTTGCACTTCGCAGTAGCAAGCACCCAAAACATTTTTTCTTAGCAGGATGCTGTCACGATACGGAGAGGAGACTATATATATGCAGTTGTAGTCGCGCTGCTATGACCACTTTTCGCCATCGAATCAGACTACGAAATACGTTTGCTCTTTAGTTATCTCGATCGTGATTGAAAGTATATCAGGCAGGTAACAAACATATCTAAACTTGAAGAGTAGAATGCGAAAAGCATAGTGATGGGTATGTGAGATTCGGCCTTCGCCGAGTATAAGTTTCTTATCTGTTTGTTTTTCATTCTGATACACATGTATCCACTATATGTTGAAATTACCGCCCATTTTGCATCTTTAATCTGTTTCGACAGGTATAAAGACAGACTGGATGTGGTGTTTTGATGTGCATAACGATTGTTTGCTATCGGTGAAAAAATGGATCAGAGAATCTGGATTAAATTTGATGGTTGTGCTTCAATTCACTTAAAGTGTTGATTGTGGCACTTGGCGAATCTACTTTGGGCAAAAAGAAAAAAAAAAATGTATATAAGCGCGAAGTGTTCATCTGAATATTGCTGGCCAAGGAGTAACTTTTCTCTTAACTTGAACAAACTCGGCGTGTGAGCGAATGACATTTGCAATCGGAATTAGAAAAAAGTATACGATCCCTTTACATATTAAGTTCACTTTTAAAAATATTATTTCAATATCGATTCGAAATTCTTGTAATAGATTTTAATTTTACTTTAAATTTGTTGGCATAGTTCACACGACAAGTGCCGCATTGTTGTCTTTTACCATTTATGTAATATTTAAACAAATGTGAATAAAAGAATTATTTACTTCAAATAAAGCATTAACAAAGGAAGTGAATGGTCAAAGAAATGCATTATTTACTCATTCAACTTATTATTCTAAGCGAAGGCATTCCTTAAGTTTTAAAAACCTTATAGTTCAGGCATAATTTGCTTAGTCTAATTAGTAGACAGATTCTTCTATGAACGTGTTTTTTGTCGCGAAGTTAATTCAATTAAAATTTACTCTCTGAGATATTCGTCCGTTGTTATCCTTAATCCTTACTTTAACTTCACGATGAAATCATTGATCGGAACGCTATGTATTTATTGTCTATTCATATTAACGAATAATGTAGTATCGAGTTATGGAGACGATCTATATCCTCTAACTATAATGCATACGAATGATTTTCACGCCAGGTAACTTTGTAAAATCAATTGCAATTATTTAAATCTGACAGATATATCACGAGCTGTAGGATAGGTTATTCAGGCTGGTTTTTTTTTTTTTTTTTGCCCGAATGAGACTTTATTCTATTGCGGAGCATGTGAAAGTACGTATGCCTTAGACGTGTCCACCGACTCTCTACTTTGTGATTTCATTGTTTTTGGAATCTGTCGCTTAGGGTCGACGCCTTATAAAGGCGGAGGAGCGTACCTTTGAGAATACTAAAGTGTTTTCTTTTTTTTGCGAAAAATAAAATATTTTAGATCTGAAGAAACGAACGTCAAGGCAAACCCATGTAAGTCTAGTGAGAAATGCATCGGTGGTCTGGCACATGCCTTACATACCGTTAAAAGAATAATTAAAGGGCAAGAAAAGAAGATAGAATCGTTATACATTAATGCGGGTGATAACTATACGCAGACTTAATCGTTATATATTTTTTAGTATAATACCGAAGAAGA